GGTCCTAACTCTTCAAATTTTGCTCCAAAATCGATGAAAACTTTATTTTTGAATTTGTCTCGTCGTGAGCTTTGAAATGAGTATAAACACGACCATATTTGGAGAAACTTGATTTTCGCCCTGGGACCTATGCGCCTTTAAGGTCAAAATTTCGAAATTTTCAGAAATAGGTCGTGTGGGGTATCATTCGAAAGCTGGAAATTTCACAAATCGAATGACACAACTTTTAGTGAGATGTACAGAACGGTTTTCGACATATGGGACATTTTCAGCTCGAATTTTGTCATTTTTAGCCCATTTTCAGCCATTTTCATCCTCTAATTTGTGTACCATTCGATTTATGAGGTTCCCAGCTTTCAAATGATACCCCACATGACATTTTTCTGAAATTTTAAAATTTTCACTTTAAAGGCGCATGGGTCCAGGCCAAAAATCACATTTGTCCAAAAATAGTCGTGATTATACTCATTTTAAAGCTCATGACAAGAAAAATTCAAACATAAAGTTTTCATAGATTTTGGAGCGATATTCCAAAAGTTAGGGACCCATTTTCAGTCAATTAGATTTTTTGATAGGGTCCTAACTCTTGGAATTTCACTCTAGACTCGTTGAAACTATATTTTTGAACTCGTTTCGTTGTGAGCTTTGAAATGAGTATAATCATGACTATATTTGCAGAAACTTGATTTTTTCCCTGGGACCTATTGCGCCTTCAAGGTCAAAATTTCGAAATTTTCAGAAATAGGTCGTGTGGGGTATCATTTGAAAGCTGGAAATTTCACAAATCGAATGACACAACTTTTAGTGAGATGTACAGAACGGTTTTCAACATATGGGACATTTTCAGCTCAAATGTTGTCATTTTTAGCGCATTTCCAGCCATTTTCCGCCCCCAAAAACCCTCACTTTGCCAATCCTCAGAACACTCTGGCAGCTGCTGTAATGATGCCAGATTCTCAATCGAACATTCCGTTGGCGACGTCACAATGACTCGATTCGAGGGGGGCGTGGCTTCGACCGCCTCCCATTTCTGTTTATTATTCTGTTCGATGGCTTTTTCGACGACTTGTCGAATCACTTCGGATGTCACAAAGCAATCGTCGCCTAGCTGTTGCATACATGCCTTGTGGACCCGGATTCTGAAGAAAATTATTGGGATTCTAGATTCTAAAATTGACAAAAATCATACTTGTAAAATTCCGGGCCCGGAATCCTGAGGAAAATTTAAAAAAAAAAATTTAAAAAAATTTTTTTTTTTAAAAACTTCCAGTATCAAAAATTCTGTATTTTTGAGCCAAATTTTGAGCTCTCAATATAATTTTCTCCATTTTTTCCGATTTTTTTCGGATTGTTTGTCTGTTAGAACCAAAAAAATATCGAAAAACTCGAAAAAAAATTTTTTTGGTCGAAAAAAATCACATAAGGGTCCCCCCTTATGTGTTTTCTCAAATTTTCAAAGCCTCCGAAATTTGGGAAAAAGGCCTGTGAAAAAAAAATTGCCTAAATTTAAGATTGGCAGCTTGAAATTCGCCAAAAAATAGCTGAAAACAGGCCAAAAACAGCCCAAAAAGGGTCAAAAACAGCCTAAAAATGATTTTGGCACGGCGCCAAGGCTTGGGCGCGTCGCGTGTCAGCGTAGCTGTACGAAATTGTTTTGAGCCGCCTTTTTCTAACCCCAAGTTTGACTCAAAATAGCGGAAAAAATGAATATTGGCACCGCGCCAGGTATAGACGCTACGCCGACACGCGACGCGCCCCCGACTTG